TATGGCCACCATAACTGATTTTACAAATATTCTATAAACAGTTCTAATTACCAAACATGAGAGTTAGCTTTAAAATAAACCAAAAGGGAAATATTATTTTACCCTGACACTTTGATCCAAATAAACTCCACAACAATTGATTTTTTTTCATTATCTTCATTAATGAAGATATATGTTCTGAAAGATTAAGATAAAATAAGGGCAACCTAAAAAATGTTTGACTGTAAAGACAAAATGACAATGAAAAACAACAGCCAACACCTATGAGAACACTTCGAATTCACAAGTTCTTTAAACATATCTAGTCTTATTTGGCATTATAAATATCTGGTACCTCAGATATAGAAATTTCATCTTCATTTTTATATATATACAAAAACTAATATCTGAGAATTATATATTTTTACTTCATCACTGTAGACAAAAACATTTCTAAGCAAGACAAATAAGGGTGCAGATATGCTATGAGTCTAATCTTTCACTTGAGATAACATGGTTATTATTTCACTTGTGGATATGGCTATTATTCCATTTTAGAAAGAGAATGGAGGAACTCTTGATTCCATTAGGAATGGATGCATACTTGTCTACGTGAGTTTAGGGCATCCTACCAGCAAGAGTTACTTGATTATTCTTGTGCAGGAAAATGGAGTAGGTGCTTTGTAGGAATATTGATGAGGTCTTTTATTTTAATGCGTTGCTATACTGAGCATGCCTAACTTAAACAGCAACAGAACCACCATTCTGATCTTTGTTGATGTGACAGCCATGCCTTTATCACCTCAAACAATTCTGTTGCCTAAGCAGACAGATGCTCTCTTAGACGGAAAACCCCTCACACTGTAACCACCTTCATGTTCTCTATGCATTAGTATCCCAGATGCCTGTGAGGAGTTAGCTGCGGTAGGCCCTTCAAAAACCACCAGGCAAAGAGAGCTGCTTCTTCAGGTTCATCCGGACAGCACCCCAACAGCATCTCCTTGAGAAACAGTGCTCCTCATGGGTTTGCAGCACGTCCTGGTCACATCCTGTGCCAACTCGGCTGATCTATAATCAACGTCATGTCTTGATAGCCTGCTGTTGCTTGCAGCGACTTCAAGTCATGATTCTGACACATCAGCAGCAGGCAGGGAACGCTTGAGACAGCGCCAACGCAGCAGAGGTGTCTGCTTCAGTTTCCAGGGATGTCACACAGTCAGTCGCTTCCCTGAGCCCGGAGCTCATCGGGTCACCAATCCGGGGGAGCCTCTATAATGTGGCAACGCTGCTTGGTACCTTATGCCACCAACGACCCCCGGTGATTGTTAAGATTCCGTTTATCTTTAGAAGAACAGTGGTTGTGAACATTAATTTAATCATAGCCATACGGAACAAGAAACACAGGCTTTGGCTAACAGAATAGGAGTTGTTCGCCTCCATCTTATACTAGGCTAATCTTGAGAACTTTATACATATAAACACCCCTGTATACTCTTTATCTTATTTGCATGGTGGGGGCACTAGAACCTACTCTGGCAGGCTTATTCCAAAGAGCCAATAAAATCATACATTAAAATTGCTTTAGGCAAATGCTTGCCACGAAATCACTTAATAACAATCAGATTCAATGCATAAAGGACAGGCTAACACGTAAGTGTCTCGGGAGAATTTGTAGTTGTCACAGAAATATACAATACTTGGTATATACAGCTATTTGAGTAAATGTTAGAAAACTGTAAGAGGAATAATTCCACTTACTTAAGTAAAAAAAAAAAAGTTTCAAATTAAAGATGACATATATCCTGAAGATGATTACCTAAAGAAAAACTGTTTCAAAGATATAAATTCTTATTATAATATGAAAATGATATAATATCAGAAGTAGTTTAAATCAATCACCTAATAAATAGTAATAAATACTAAATATAATAAATACTACAATATTGGGGAAACATAAAAATGTATAAGAAATTTTAATTTTGGCAAGATTTCAAATACATTCATAATAATTGTTCTTTTAATTTATCTTGAAAAAATTTACCTTCAATTTTAAAATGCAGTCTCTTAGACAGTTATTAAAATAGATTTATTACTGTAAATACATCAGGGTTAGAATATAAATGGGAATGCAACCTACATAGGAAGCTAGGCAAATACCACACATTAACAGATACTTTGCTTTCTGATTTCTTGACTCTAATTTAAATCGACATTTTTGCCTCTGATTTTCATGTTTATATGAGTCTTTGAAAAGTCTTTTCACCTCAGTGGCTCCTCGAGTGTTCACTTGGAACAATGACTTTGCAGCTGGCCAAACCTAACTCTCAATCAATTTTTATGAGTACAAATTCTTGGGCTGATGGCCGGGTTTCTAGCTATATCACTCACATAATCCACACTCACAGTGGTGATGAGATTCACATTATCACCAGAGCACCATTGTGCCAACGGCAGCAGCAGACACAGCAGGGTCCACTGTCCTCCCTATGAGAAACGACTCCTTCACCTTTCAATAATGCAGCCTGCAGGTATGGACCTACAAGCTGTGTGCAGACAGAATGAAAGATGTCTTTAAAAACACTAATAAAAACTACCCAGTTCCTCCCAATGGGTCACTCTCATCGAATCTCCATACATATCCATCTTGATTTTGAAGTGAGTGCATTCAATTTGCCTTCCCATTACATTTGGAATTGGAAGAAAGATTCAATTGTGTTTGAAACTTCAAAAAGTTGTCAGAGTACGGGCATATATATTTCAACACAGTTAGGTACAGAATTCTCCCTCTCTGTGTGTTTTTCTATCTATTTATCTGTATCTGTCTGTCTGTCTGTCTGTCTACCTACCTACCTATCTATCATTTATCTACAATATGTAACAAGTATAATAAATTCAAATTAATTCAAGTTTGGTAGAATTTTTCTTAAATTTAAATTAAGGAGCATATTGATTTAGCAACTACTTTGATTCAATTTAGATTTTTTTCCTTTTAAAATAAAACTTGATTTTCAGTTATCTAGAAAACTCATTTCCACATTTAATGTCCCTCAAAAAAACTTTACGAATTTGAAAATTCCTTTTGTTTTTAAATTCTAATAAATTATAATTGAAGTACATAGTTTGCATTAAAATTTTTGATTCATGTGACTAGAAAATAAGCTAGGTAGCAAATGATGATCTTAAGCCTTCCCAGGATACAAAGCATTAGGTCAACATTTAACTTTTCAAAGCCAGTTTCTAGAAGCTTAATTTTCATATTGAACAAATAAATACATTGGAAACTTTTAGACTCCTGCCATTTACCAGGTTCTCAGACTAACAAATGCTATCTGCACATTTCTTTAAAACATAGTTTCATATCTTTTCACACGTTTCCATCAGTGAAACTCTTCAGAGCTAGCTTAGTTTGTTCAAAGATTGTTTATCCCCCAAATCATCTACTGAGCTCATGGAATTATACGAGCTTCTATATAAATTCATTAAACACAACTAAAAAGCAGCTTTGTCTCCATGAAAACTCAGTGGAATGCTTCCAAAAGATGTGGGAATGATAAATCATAATGGTAAGCCTGTCCAGTTAGATGAAGATGAGACAGCTATAATGGGAATATAATTAAAAAGCAAGAAGAATATATATTAGAACTTCTTCATAAACATATTTACATTTTGTGCCAGTGTAGAGGCACAACTGAAAAGCTGCAGAAGATATTTAATAGGCATGGTTTGGGAGGACAGACTGCTGAGAACTGCAAGCCGGGGTGTGTGTGTGTGTGTGTGTGTGTGTGTGTGTGTGTGTGTGTGCAGTCTATACATGGATACCTTTTACTCTAAGATACACAGATACCTTTTATTATTATGATAAGCCACACAAGAAATGTTTACACTTTAGACAAGAATAAAACAGATTGGTGATCTGCCACACAGATACAGCTACTCCTGACTGAATTTTAACACCTTTCATAAAGATTCCATGCTACCACAGGGCATCAATAAACTAATTTTTTTCCAGCAACTGAAGGATGACTGTATCTGTAGAAAATAGCAAATGATAATTTTCCTCCACTGGAATTTCTCCACATCATTTTGATTTAGCCCAGTTAAGCTTGCCTAATGTGTGGTAGGAATCAATGAGATTTTACAGACTATTCTGTTAGGATTCCAAGAGTGATTCTCTCTCTTTTCATATATTTCCACTGAGAATGAAATAGTTTGACTGTATCCTGGAATGGCATGGCTACTTTGAAAGCTTTGCTTTAAGGTAACTAGAACTTAATGATTATAAGCAACAAGGGATGCTCATGATTTTAAAAGGTCAGATGAGCACATATTCCAATAATCTATATTTGGAATCCAATCACCGACAAATAGCATGAACGATTTGATTTAAAAGCACATTTATATGAATATACAACAGACACGACATATCTGTGTAAAATGGGAGAGTGAATGGACAACAGCTTATCTCCACACTACCTGGATGATGCAGTTGTCTTCAAGCATCCTTTCGATGCTTTTACGAAGCCGTGACTGACAACACAATTTCTATGCTATTTATTATTATTATTATTATTATTATTATTATTATTATTATTATTATT